TCCTTTTACTCTCTTTTCCCATTATTTAATTTTTTCTCCTCTTTGAATTAATCTCTACACCTACAACCCTGTATAATAAAAATGATAAAAGAGGTCAATCCAACTAGTTAACATTATGTGTAATTTTGCGTAGATACCCTGTCTGTAGGATTTGGGTCTTAAGTGCTTGGGTATCAGTCTCACTGGTGTCCAGAATCCCCAGCTTCACTAACCTTGTCTGCTGTCCTAAGTCTAGTGTGACTTGATGTGTTTCCTGCCTCCTCCCTTGTGCGCTCCTTTTTTGGTGCAGCAAGGTGCCATTTCCATGCTGCTGTGCATCATCGATTTGCTTGTCCTCAATTGTTCTAAATCCATGCTGGTGAGACTTGCAGCTCCCATTTACAATTCTGAAGGGTGTTGATTCAGTGGGGTAGGGCTTGAGCTTTTCTAAAAATGAAGTTGGGTGGCGATAGGCCAGGGGACAGCACCTGCTGTTCCCTGCTCCCTTGTCAGTATGCCCCCAGGCTTGGCTCCAGCACACATCAAAACCTTCGGTCAAATAACAAGGGTGGCTGGAACAGCCACACTCTGTTTCAGGGAAAACATCCCTCAGGGTTACACAGCTAACAACTGTTCCTTTTCCATCAAAGGTGATGGAGGGGGTGGAAAGAGGGGGGAAAAAAAAACAAAACAAAACCCAAACAAGCAAAAAACAACCACTCCACAGTATTACAATCTTATCAGTGTCAGCTCACAGTTTGGCAGCCTATCTCTCTCCAGGTGCCAGGTGTGTGCTTGTTGTGGGTGTGGTGGAGTGGTTGCTTAGTTAGTGCTTCCAGGTGCCGCCTGACTGTTTATACAGCTTCAGTTCCAAATACAAAAAGTTCCTTTTAGGTTGTTTTTCCCTCACACCTGCTTTCTGAGCTTTCTTCTGGGCAGGTTTCAGAGGCAGGGAACCTCTCCCTGCAACCTGTGGTGCTGCCCATCTCTCCACCAGCTATTCAGTGCAGAGTATGCAGCAGAATGTAAAGGACAGTAAGGGCCGAATCAGAGGTATATCTGTGTGGCTTTGAGACTTTGTTTTTTGCTTGCTCCTGAGAGAATAACAAATAACAATTTTAAGGAAAACTATTTCAAGCTGTTACTGGCACTCTTGATGCCCAAAGAAATGTCTCGTCCATGGTGTTGGGAGCTGCCATTGGTGCTGCTAGTGACCAGGTAAGAGCAGTACGCTGTGCATTTCCCAATCACGGGGTGACACTGTGCAGTGCCTGCTGTGTGGGAGGACATGCGGCATCCTGTGGCATAGAGCTTACTAACAAGGGCCTCTAAGTTGCAACAAGAAGTTTTGAACCATGTTCCTTGCCCTTGCAATGCAGTGTTGTGTCACCTTAAGACCAGGGTCATCCTCTGAAGTTAATGAAGCATTTAGGTTCCCTTCATATCGAGGTGGGCCCCTGGCTGTACAGTAGCAGTAGGAATGGAGATCTTGATTCTCCTGATAAGCTTTCTGCCACTTAGCTCACTTCTGTGTGCCTGGAGCTCACAACTTCGGGGTGTCCCAGAGGGTGAGACTTCACATACCCTGCACCACATGGGGGAAGGAGAAAGGGGGGATCAGCTCCTGCTGCTTCAAGTCATGTGGCAGCATGCAGGAGCTGCTGCTGGGAGCGGTTGTGTCTGGTGGGACTCCAGAGGGGTTGACGCCTCATTTGGAGGCTTTCCCCCTTCCCTTTCCCACCGCTGCAGCACAGAGTGGAGACATCTCACATGCTTACAGACCCCCATGGACACAGTTTTACTGGCAGATCACAGCTCAGGCTCACTACTGGTCCCTCACTCAGGTGTATGGAGAGGGAATTTTCATTTGGACTGCAACCCGGTAGTCCCTTCAATTTAGTTCGTAGCCCCAAATATGCCCCAAGGGGGTTATTCCTGTTTCAGTTAGCAGTTTCCAGATTTGTAGTTGACTAGGCAATCAGCAAGACTGATGCACTGGATAGTTGAAACCTCATAGTGGGTGATGTGAGTGAAAGGTTTGGCTGTTCACACTTGCCCAGAGAGATTGAGGAGTAGGAGAATGGGAGAAGAGGAGGCAGATGGCAGCCACAGCAGGGCTGGCAAGGAAAGCGGCTGAGTGCTGTAAGAAGGAAAAGTCAATGCTCTCATAAACAGAGCCAGCTGTGCTGGAGTTTGCAAGGCCACTTATTTTCAAAGCAGCCTGCAGCTGACCCAAGTTTACATTTGTGATAATCTTTGTGGCTGGTCAGAGTGCCATTAGTGTTTAGTATAAATAAATGTTTACAGGAATGTTTGTGCTAGATGTGCTCTTTCAGCCATTCTGAAAAGTTGTGGGTTTAATTATTTATACAGTAGATTAATTTGACACTCACAGGTGGCCCTGGATAACTGGCAGGCAGGAAAGCTGAATGGTGTGCTGCTGATTTATGCAGCATAGGCCAGCAGTCAGAAACTGGAAACACCATTAGGTGACCATTCAGGGTAACAATGGAGCAAAATCTCTCCAATTTTAAATGTCTCCATTTCAACTCCAAACCTCTCATTTATTCTCTTTTTTTCATACATTCTACCCACCTCTGCCCTTGTTTGTTAGTCATTAGAACTCCTTGTATAGCTCTTTTCTTCATCTGATGGAGACTTCTTGGATGAAAGTGTGTGTGGGGAGAAGAGGAGAAACAATGAAGAAAGAGAGTTGGAATATAGCTGTTTATTGTGGCAAAAGAGGTGCATAATTAATTTTCTGGCTGCAGAGATTTTGTCTTACATAAAAGTTCCTGAGGGCTGAAGAATTCATTTATTGTTTCATGGGAAGGGTTTGTTTTTTGGTTGGTGGTTTTCTTTTTTTTGTTGTTGTTGTTGGTTTTTGTTTTGTTGTGTTTTTTTTTTTTTTTTCCCCTCTCCTGTGTGGCAAGTCATGGGACATTTTCTTCTTCCATTGTCCTAGGCTCTGAACTAGAATGCTCTTCAGTATGTGGCAGGGAAGTCAGTAGGACTACTCACAGGATTAAGAAATCTCCTGGAACAAATACCAGTCTTCCTGATGTGATCAGAGTTTAAAGGGTCTCATCTGAGCATCGCTGAAATCAGTAAAACTATTTCCAGTGTTTTCAGTGGGTTTTGGATTATGCCATTAAAGACAGTCCTTGCAATTTAGTTGGTAGCCCCAAGTTATGCCCCAAGGGGGTATTCCTGTTTCAGTTAGCAATTTCCAGATTCATAGTTGACTAGGCAAAGACTAGAATACTTTTAGGGAAGAGTTTGATGATAAAATATACAGTGGTCATTGGGCTGACTGATCTGAGGTTTCAGAAATTTGGGAGCTGTTGGTCTACATCTCGTTTGAATTGTATGGTCCCAGGGAGATGTACAAGTGAGGAAAAGACCGAAGCAATGGAGATTGCTTCTTCTCTTGCACTTCTTAGCCTTTCTTTATGCTTGCATTAACAGTAAATTTTTTTTCTCATGTTTGATATGATCTAATAAATACCAGATCTTTTGTTTATGAAGCTGTTAGTTAATGTTGTCACCTGAATGTCTTCAAGTGATGTAACTAGGAGGCCCACTGACTGGATAGTATATCAAATCCAGTAGATTTTGTTCATAGGTAGCATATTAACAGATCACTGCAGAAGGGAAGTTTCTGGTCTGCTGGTACGTTTTGATTCCAGCTCATTATGGGTGACTCCTTTTAGATGTTAAGGAACTATAAGATGAAGTCTGACAAAGCTGAGTATTAAGAGAATGCATTTCAGTTATGTCTGCAGTACTTGTGTCTAAAGCAGTTGGATTTCAGACAAAAGTATATTTCCTCAACATTAAATAACTCCATCCCAGAAAGTCAGTCCTCATGTAATAAAAGTTTATAAAAGGACAATTTTTTGGATGGTGTCATGGTGTCTGATTCTTGATTCGGCATGGCTGATTATGGTTGACAGGATCTTCAGACTATCTTGTACAGAAATTAGGTCTTCCTGTAGGCTTTGACTTTCAAGCGTTACTTACAGCCTTTGCCTTTAGCTCTCCAACCTACACTTTTCCAGGTATGTACAGTCTACAGGTCTTAGTCTTTTCTACTTACAATGGGTGAGTGATGTTAATGAAAAATTAAGGGTTAGAGGAGGAATGCTCTATCCTGTAATCAAATTACTATTTGTTTAAAATTATCACTAGCACAGAGTTTAAAAATACTAAAGTTTTATATTTTCATTAGACTTGGATCCGTGTGGTTAGCTGGAAAGGAGGGAGCAGTCTGTAGTGTAGTAGAAGAGACCAACTTACGTATTTCACCATTTTGGAGGCTGATCCTGAGAGGTGGTGACTGCTTTCTCTTCCTGTTACAATCTGTAATATGAGATGCATTTTCAAGGAAACTGTGTCTTTGTAAAAGATGCAAAATGCGGCTAGAGCAGCATGAACTGCTAAGGTAGTGTGGTATTTTGGATCAAAGTGTGTGTCTTGAATTTGCTACCTCCTCCCTGTGGTAACAGAACTGCAAGCAGCAGCTGAACTGGGTTTGCAGTGAAGTGCTTTCTTGTTTTATTTGTGTAATGTTTTGAAAGGAAGTAAAATTTTCTAAAGTTTAAAAACATCCTACAGCAAAACTAGATGGTCTTTTGAAGGAAGAAACTTGTTACACCTTTCAATGTACTGCTAGGATAGTATGTAAGTAGTCAGTTGGGCCAACATTTGTATTTAAGGTTGCATGATTGAAGTGCGCCTGAAGGGAAATATAAAAATAAGATAGTGTTCTTCATTAACCTTAAACATCTGGAAATAGTTTGGGGTGGATGTTTAAAACCAAAACCTTATCAAAACGGCACGTGCAGCCAGGTCTGCTAATCTGACCACCTACGTCCTTCTTTCTCTTAGCGTTTTCTGTGATCACTGAAAGCCCCTGTATGAATGGCTCTGGGATCACTTACAGCTAAGGTTAATGGGATAATCTTATTGAAGCAAGAATAGAGGAAATGACTCTAAGTCTCAGCTTACCTCTTTTGCAGCTGGAAGAAGGAGAACACTTTGCTAAAATGGTGATAGACTTGGGTGAGGATGCTGGAGAGTCCTTAGCAAAGGGTTACCTGGCACTGGGCCTGACATATAGTCTTCAAGCTACTGACGGTGAGTTACCCTGTTTGTCAAGTATGTATGGAAAGCAGCTGATCAAAGTCTTCAGTGCAAGCAATGGAAATTTATTAGAAACTGCTTTTAGTGCTGACTGGGCATGAAAAACAATCAGACTGCATAACAAATGGGGACTGTTCACCTGCTCAGAGAACTGTCTTCTGTGGTAATAAAAAGTGAAGTTTTTAGATAAAGGAAGAAATGCAAATCATTACTTAGGAGGTGATAATCTGACTGTAGCCAACAATGCTTGGTGTGCTTTACTTGAATATTTTTAATAGATTTCTTTCACTTATTTACACAACAAAAAGTCAGACTTTCCATCTATTTTCATATTTTTGTCACCCACTCGTAAATCACATAAAGAAATACAATCCAAGAACTGGAGTCAGAAATGCCTGACTTCAGTTCCTGGCATGATACTGATTCCCCACAGAGATTCAACCTCTCTGTGATGTCATTTCTTTCTCTGCTTAGAAGTAAACAAGATAAAAATACCTACCTCACTGGTACATGTGGATGTTGACTAGATACAGACAACTGAATGTAAGAAGTATTTTATTTTAATGCTGCTTGCTTGGGTTTTGAATGACTGGACAATGGACCCCTGCAGATTTGGTGCTTGGTAACAAGAAGGGCTTGAAGTCCCAGTGCTTGGGAGAGTTCTAGCTCTGACCTTCATCAGGCTCACAGGTGGGAAGTCTTTGTTTCTTCTACAACCTCTAACATAGGTAGAAGGCCTTCTAACATAGTTTCTTTGAATAATGGCTGAGCTAGTGTATTTCCTAATCAATTTGTCAGTCCTGCCCACATGCAAGCAATGGCTTTTCTGTCAGATGGGTCACACAGAAACAAACCGCCTTCTTCCAGAAAATGAACCTGAAACAAAGCTGAAATGGTGGTATGGTATCATGGAAGTATGCTGGCCTTGCATGTTACACCAGAATTCTGCAAGGCATGTGTTTGAGGAAGTGGCACGTGTATGAGGAAGTGCCCTGTGCTCTTCAGTAGTGCAAGTCGGTGTATTTTTTCAGCCAACTATATCTGATCAGCTGTTCTCAGAACTTCCTTCCAACATGGAGGTTAGCAGGCACTATAGCTCTCTTCAGTTCTCCATTTCTCTGCCTCAGAATAGTTCCCCCTAGAAAGTTTGTGTCAAGAAACACATGTCCTTCCTAGCCTGAACTTTCTCATAGATATATATATATGTATTTGTTTTAAATTCATTTAACACTGAGTTCTGCTTAACAGCCTAGCTTTTTAAGGCATTTTGCCTAGATCTTGTTTAAACTGTCCCTAACGTTATACAAGATTCCATAGACTATTTTGAGAGAGAGAAGGTTTTCTATGTTAGCCCTTTATGATCTATTTGTTATTCTAAGTATGAAAAGAAGGTGGTTTCTAAAGAATGGAGTTGTAGAGGCATGTGCTGTACTCTGGCTCTAAAAATGCTTTGATGCAGCAGAATGTGAGTTGGAAAGTTGGAAACTTCTTCTGGAAGAGAAGTCTTCTCTGTGTTTTCAAAAGGTTAGTTCAGGTGTTGTAATAACTGTCTTTTTTAATGTAAAAGAAACAGTCTTCACAACTGCCTAGGATTTTTTTTTTTTTCTAGATTAGTATCTGATTTATGTTGTGGAACGGTGGAATATGTGCCTTCTCATATTTCTAGCTTTTAAGTCAATAGGGCCAGTCACTCAGTTATTTGAGGGAAATCTGAAGAGTATAATTTCATCTTTCAGGTCATATTTTAATAAAATGGATTAAGTCCTTCAAAACCATACTTATAGTAATTATGAATATGGAACCAGCATTTTACTAGAAAATGTCAAATTTGCACTAACAAGACATTTGTCATTAGCATTGTTAAAAAATAGCTTATCACAGTGAGTAAGCAAGGGTAGAACATGCCGAAAGGAAGATAGCAACTCCCCTATGCAATCCTGCCTCATACTGTCAGTCTTGTTTATCATTGTGTTTATACCAGTTCATAGTGACATATGCAGACACACAGTCAAACATCTGTGTGTGTATGTGTATATATATGATTTCCATAACTTTCCACTTGAGCTGACTTCCAGTGAGTCAGCATTTTCAGTGGTAGCTCAGTGTTTCAGACATTTGACCAATTCCCTTCTAAAGCTTACAGCATTATATCAAGATGCCTTCCATCCAAGGTTAGGCTTTCTTACTTAATGTATCCTCCTGTGTGACAGAGGAGTTGTATTAAAGCCTTTTCTTTGTGATGCAAAAAGCACTTGCTAAAAAACTGAGTCAGAAGAGAGATTCTTGCCGAACGACACTTCAAAGAACTTGTAAATTGAGATTTTATCAAATGCTCCCACAACTATTAGATTTACTCCTGGATGAAATAAAGATTCCCTGAAACTTATGCTGGGTAGCAGTATGTGTAGCTTCCTTGTTCTTAAAGTCTAATTACATGTTTCTTGAAATAAGTCTCACTGTAGTAGCTGAAAGATGTGTCCTCAGAGGAAGTCATTGCCACTTTTGCCTCACTCTTAGAAGCACAAATCTCTTGTACAGAGTATTCATCTATTGCTATGCTAAATTTTCTGCAGATCTGTTCCCAATGGGTCAATGTCAACAGCAAATCTCTCTCTTCCTCTTGTAGTTCCAGTTTTGTCATAAGCTGTATTGTCAACTTTGCCTCCCTTAGGTCTGGTGAAGATTCCATTGAAGACAGGGGAAGGTGAGATGAATTTAACAAAGGATAAAGAGAAAAGACCAGGTTGACAATGCACTGTGAAAGAGAAGTGCTCTTCTTATTTAACTTCACTACCTCACATCTTGTGAAATCTTTGTAGATTTAACAGACCCTCACTCTTTCAGAGATGAGAGAATGTGCGGTATCTCTGTTTTCATTTGGAATTTTGGTATAAGCTCACAGATCAGGGACTGAAATGGAAAATTTTTCTATCAGTCCTTGTGAATTTTATGAATAATCAGTATACTGACAGCACCAGTTAAATGTTAAAAAAAAAAAAAATAGACATTGCTTATTAGTGAGGAAACCCATCATTTTTGCTTTTGGAGACAACAGTCAACACACAATCTGTAACTATGATTTTGTGTGCTAAAACTGTACACCTTGCCATATTAAGCATCTTAACAAAAGGGAATGGTTTTTAAACCCACTGATATGTGCAAAAGGGTGCATGCACCTTGGTGTTTTAGTTTGGATCAGAAATGTATTTTTGAAGTCCATCTCCTGTCATCCCCACTTCTTATGGTGTGGTTCACATAATGGAACAGTTTTGCACAGCACAAACAGAAATCTTTCCCATAAAATTAATATGCTACATAAATAGACCTGATTATGCTGCAGCTGCTAATGGGTGTTCAGTCCATGGGACAAGACTAGAACTAGACCCCTGAACTCATGTTTGTAGTGTTGATGCTGATCCTCAGCATTAAGCTTTTCACTCCATGCATTTGCACCTACTGTGCTGCACCTGCTTACTAACACAAGACTTGGTCCTCTCTGTTTTCAAATGTGACTTTAGAACTTTGTATTTAGGTACCAAAATGTTGCTTAAGCTCCTTTAAAAACCCAGAGTGCTTTAGAAAATAAATCTTGGTCTCCTAAGGTGGCATTTGCAAAACTACTGTGTCTTACAGGAATAACTGCTAAAGCTTCAGAAACTCAAACTTTCCTGTGCTCTCTGCCTTACAGTGGTTAGACTGCTTTGCAGGTTATTTTAACCTAAGTAATAAGTCATACTGTGTTTTAGTTGGTAGAACGGCAGCAGCCATTCTCACAGTGTGCATTAGGTTGGGTAGAGGCTGAAGAATTCATTAGAGCTGTCAGCCTTGGAGAATGGAGCACAACTTTCAGAAGTGTAGTCAGACCCACCTAATTCTGCCTCCTTGGTGCAAGCTTTTCTTTTTCTGAAGTGAGAGCTTTTCAGTGATACAAGTGGGTTGCAGTGATGATGACTTCTTTGAACAATTCTGGGGGTAGAGCATCCACAACATCACTGGGCAACCTGTTCCAGTGTCTTGCCACCCTCAAAGTAAAGAATTTATTCTCTATATCTACTCTAAATCTTCTTTCTTTTAGTTTAAAACCATTACCCCTTGCCCTATCGCTACAGGTCCTGGTAAAAAAACCCCTCTCTTTATCTTTCTTGTAATCCCCCTTTAAGTATTGGAAGGCTGCTATAATGTCTCCCCAGAGCTTTCTCTTCTCTGGCCTGAAAAACCCCAACTCTCTCAGCCTTTCTCCATAGGAGAGGTGCTTCAGCCCTCGAACCATTTTCATGGTCCTCCTCTGGACTTGCTCTAACATGTCTGTGTCTGTTTTGTACTGGGAGCTCCGGAGCTGAACACAATACTCCAGGTGTGGTCTCACAAGAGCATAGCAGAGGGGGAAAAAAATCACTTTCCTTGACCTGCTGTTGAAGCTTCTTTTTATGCATCCCTCCCAAAATAACTTCTCATTGCTTTTTTTTCTTCCTAATTTATCTCTTTTAGCTGTAAAGGCCCAATAAATGGCATGTTTAACTTGCAGCATCAGTCCTCAGTATTGTCAAACACAAATTTCAACATGCTTATCCAAGTCAGACACAAATCTAGAGATGGACAACCAGATTTCCAGCTTAGTTGTAGCTGAAGATGTAGCTCATATTGTGGGAGGTGGGACTCACATGCTGCTTCCCAGTAGTGCAGAGGCAAAGCTGACAAGTTGTAGGGTAATCACTTCATTTTCATAACATATTTTGTGTTTTTTCTTGCTACAAGCTGAACATCAATCAAATGTCTTACTAGGTGGAACCTAAAAGTTCTCCTAGCTTTTCTGTTTGATGTTTATTTTGGGGGGCAAATAGTAAAATTTCTTTCTATCTTTCTCGTTGTGTGACATCTCCAGAACTGCTCTGTAACTTACATAAGGGAATCCTGCAGTTTCTAGGAATAACAGAATCTGACATATTTTTCTGGTTGAATGTTTATAGCTATGATCAAATCCTTTCCAATGTCTCTTCAAGCATTTTTTGTTTACATCAATCTTGATTGTTTTAGTTTGTGTTGTTTTGTTTTGTGTTTTGGGTTTTTTTTTTTCTAAATTTTCCTCCTGTTACCTTTTTCCAGTATTTGGCAGTGGACCTGAATACTCAATTTAAAGCTATTGAGAGTGAAGTATTTTCAGCTACTTCTAATAAATGCTGCATTTTTTATGAAAGTCTGTATCTTCAAATTTATGCTTTAAACTGCAAATTTTTTGTTCCGTTTTTACTACTTTGAGTACATTTTGTGGCATAAGCAATTTTTGATCTTTATGATTTGGGAAATTCTGAAGATTGCTGTTTGTTTGAACCTGGTGTTTTGAGGAACTGTTGGAAGATGTGAAATGAAAATTACTAACTACTTTGGCAAAATAAATTACTTCCAAAGTTTTCCTCACTTAGCATGTTGCAGAATCCAAAGAAACTGATTATCTTTTTTTGTATTGTAGAAGAACACAACTCTTTCTTCTTGATAACTTTTAAAAATACTTGGATTTTATCTGTTTTTGTTGCTTAAGTATATGCTACTTTCTATTCTGTTGCTTACACTAACTTTATGTAAGTAGTAAAATATATTAATAGGTGCATGTTTGCTGGTGGATTGACTACTCATCTCTTCTTTGTGCTGTTGATCAGTAGCTCCCAAATTCAGGATAGGCAGAACAAGAAACAACTGCTATGCAAAATCTGAAGACTAAGAACTGTAACAAGACAGCTGATGTACTTCTGAAAATTATCGCTAGCTTTCCAGATATTTTGGATCTGAGAAAGCCATGCTTCTCTAAGCTCTTCCTCCGTTCCCCTTGCTCTTGATGATGATATCTTATGATACCATGGCATTAGAAGAACTTGATTCTTCTCCTTCTTTTATGGCCTTGGCTTAAGACCATATTAATTGACACATTGAGAGGTAAGAGTAGTGGGCAGGATTCTTTAGTCAAACAATTAGAGGCACCAAGGAGGACATTAGTGGCTAATGCCACGCCTGAAGACACCTAGAAGTCTGCTATGGTCTCAAGGGAGATGGTGTGTTGTCAAGGGTTTTGTCATAGAGCTGTAAATTTGGCTGCTGGTGTTCCCTATTCAGCCTGCGACACCCTCCTACATGAAGATGGTGGTGGAGACAGTCTGTATCTGAGTCAGAATATTCTGATAGTTACTACTTTTAGCATATACACCAACCTGGCAGAGGGCCTGTTATGCTCTTAGTATCTAGTTAGCATATGTCCCCTTCTCCCAGACCCCTTCAGTGGCATATGCAAAAAAATAAATGCTTCGGTATTTCAGACAAAGGAGTTGGAAGAGTCTTTAATAAAAACTATATTGAGAATTCAGGTTAAAATACTGGGTTTGTGCTGTTCTTTAAAAACAAAATGGCATGTTTTCCAGCCATGAACACATACCAACAGATTGCCACAGTTTTTATGCTCCCAGTTTGAAATACTATGTGCAACAATTTATTTAATCTGAAACATTGAATTGTATCTTGTCCTACAGCTACTCTGAAGGGCACTCAGGATGAATTAAACAAGAAAGCACTTCAGACTTTGGAAAGGTGAGTAGGAATCTTGTGGATGTTTTCATTGTGTATTTCTTTGGATTAATTCAGAATAAATGTGGCTTTTATTTTTTTTTTTTTTTTTCCTTCTGTGTAAGGCCTCCTCGCCTGAAAGTTTCAAAACAGTTCGGTAGATTTCAGCAATAGTCTATCAAAACCATTCCTGTGATTGCTAAATGTAGTGATTATTTGGTTGAATATCCAAGGTAAGTGTACGTGTTCTGCCACTAAACAGAAATATCCTTAACCCAAATTAGCTGCACTGAGATCTACAGTGCTGGGAGATGCAGCTTCCTCACATGATGTCGGCAGGCAAATGTGGGAAGCTAGTTTTGACTCTGTTCCTGTGTCAATCAGGCTTCAATTCTACTTTCCTCCATGGTGGGAAAGTAGCTTCACTAGCAGGGTATAGGCTGCTATGGGGTGACCTGGCATCAGGTCACCTACTGGGGAGGGGACGATTGCTGGCCTAATGAGTGTTTACATCAGCTGTTGTATGAAAAGGGGGCTATGAAGTGAGCAGTACAAAACAGTCACCACCCCTCTGTTCACCACTGTGTTTTCTGGGGGTCTGATCCAGTGGCTCTGTGCTGAAAGTGTCTGTGAATTAAACTCTGTAACCGTAGTTACCTCAAGTAAAATTGTTTGGGTTAAAAACCTTTTTTGTCAGTTCTGTTATGGTAGAGAGGTACACTTCTGGACCCTGTTACAACTAAGTTACACCACCCAAAGTACACTAAGTGGTGTTTGGGCATTTAACATTGTAAATGTAGATGTCTACAGACTTCAGATGGCAACTAAATGGAAGCTTATATGGTCTAAGTCTTGGTCTGAAGCATCTAATTCTGTTTTTGGTGTGATCATAAATATGTTACAAAAGTGAAGAAAATTTTAATATCTCAAACTACAGGTGTAGCGAGTTGAACATGTTACTGGATCTGAGCTGTTTTTCTGATGCTGAGCAAGAAGTTGTCCAGCATGTTTGTCTTGCACTGGTTTTGCAGTGGCTGCAAGAGCATGTAGTAAACTGAAATCACAGATGAAATTCTGGATATTTACCCTATGGAGATCTGAAAGATAAAATTTTAAAAAGCCATTTATTTGGTCACTATTTAGATCAGGAGTATACTAAGTCACACTAGTTCCTGGACTCCAATGTAATACTTTCACTGCTGCACAATTTTGATGTAATTGCGGTGCTGCAGTGCTTTTAAACTGCATTTATTTTTATCCTTTGACCTTTCTCACTGGCTGTGGCTTGTTTTCATGGAATCTTAACTCCAGCTAGGAAGCAGACAAGCTTCTAGCCAAGCATTAGGTATTCAAACTTCAGCCAGCAAGAATGTTGTGATAGTGAGCTGGTTACTAATGTCTTCCTAAGTGCCTGAGCTTGGTTTCTTTCTTTTTTTAATCTTCCTTGTTTTTCACCTGTTTTTAAAGTACACGTATGATCCCTCAGGCCGTGGTTTGGCCTGTAGCCATCTTTCTAAGTGGCCTTTTCAGGTGGAAGATTAGATCAAATATTTTTCTAATACCTTTGAGGAAACTGAGCAGTAAAGTGACAACCTGTTGTTTCTTTCCAAAAGCACCATTAATTTATTCTCCTGTACACCCATGTGAACTTTCCCCTCTTATTTATTGTTGGAGAGGCTACTGAAGGTTTCACAGGAGATGCTTGCTAAAGAGGCGGCTCACCCTGATCCAACAACTCAGGACAAAGCAGGGTTCTATCTCCTGGAGTCATATTGTTGTTCTTCGGTTTTGTTTTTGTTGTTGGGGTTGTTTTGGGGGGTTTTTGTTTGTTTTTGTTTTTTTAAGCAGGGGGAGAAATTAGTGACTTGCCTGTTCTAATTCCACCTTTTGTCATTGCCTCAGAATCCTTGAACTAGCTTGACTTGCAGAGTTACAGTACACATTCAGTCCATATTAAATTAATTAGTTCTAGAGCCAATAGTTATAAAAGTTAACTCCAACAGCTTCATGCTCACAGGCCAAGATGGCACTTGAGAAGTGACTGCTGTTAAAATGATGTGTGGCTTTTTCCTCAAGTAATTCTCTGATCTTTGTTTGTTTGTTTATTATTAGGAAATGAATAGTTTTGGCAGGGTTTTTAACCACCAGCCTTGTCAGCCTGTCATTTCTCCCTCATAAGGATGTTAATCATGCTCACTTTGGGCAGAGCGATGCAGGTGCAGGCTTCCCTGGTGTCCTGGAACACAGCCCAGAAAAAGGTCAGGAATGTTGTTTGGCTGTGAGGGGACCTTCTTCTTCCCCACATCTCCAATGTGAAATGACTTACCTGTGCTACAGAGCTAGGAGTGAGCTCTCTGGGTCAGCGAGGGGATAATCCACTGGTCCCTGGGCTGGGCTGCCAGTGTGGCATGAGCCAGTGCCCCATGTTGCTCCTAGTTTAGGTCCCCAAAACACTATCTTCAAGTTGCCTTGGTTAATGGCTTCTCCACAGGCTGGCAAGCTCAGTCTGCAGTTTCATGCTTAGCATAGTCTGAAAGGGATGGTTCTGCCCTGGTTGTCCGTTCCTGTTCCCTTGCACAAGTCTGTGTGAAGGTCCTACACATCTGGTCCTGGAGACACTGCAGCCTTCACTAGCCAAGGGGTCACTGCAGTGCACACTGTTGCCTGCTGCGGGCTAGGAGGTAATATCTAAGAGGTCCCAGTTTGAGAAGTAAGGGCCTTGGTTTTGGTCCAGGCTCAGCTCTTGCCATCAAATCCTCGTTCCTTCCTCAGTGTCTTCCCTTTCCAAATTAGGAGTCTACTTTCAACGACTGGACTAGAAGCTGCAGGGTGGATGATGTTCTGTGTGTTTGAGCACCAGCTCACATCATGGGCTCCTGATGTTCAGTCCTGTATGTGCTCATAGTCACAACAATATCAGAAACAGTTACTACTTTTTCAGTGCTAACCTAACCCTTCTCCTACTGTTTGAAAAGTGGCAGTATAGAAACAAGTTAGGCGATTATCACCCTCAGTTACATTACTTAAAATAATGCTTTAATGGGTTTGTCATGAGTTAAGAGCTATATCAGTTCTCCATATCAGTTATCCAAGTTTCAAAACATTAAGTGGCATTTAATGAAGGAGCATGTAAGTTGTATAACATCCTGGTAGTTGTGTTTCTCATACGTGTTCCTGTGAGCCTTGCTTAGCCAGGCCAGCACTGATCTGCTTTTTGTCTTTTTGGTGTGCTCCCCTGTTACTGGACTAGTTTTCTGTAGGAGAGGACTGGGTTTTGTTCTGTGCTTGTATGTGACTCGTGGCAAAGGAGTTCTGTGAAGTACAATCTGACACTTATCTTTTTTTATCGTGTGTTTGTCCTTACAGAGCACGTGACTTGGCCCCGGAAGATCACCAAATCATCCTCTACCTATCACTGCAGCTGGCTCTTGTCAGACAGGTATGTGCAATAACTGGCAACCACTGAGTCATGAGAGGGTGGGAGAAGGACAGTCTAACTGAACAAGAACCAGGCTTGATAAATAGCGTTCCTTCCTACACTGTAATCAATAACAAGCAATCAGAATATGTTCCTGTAAGATACTTTTTATTATTTTCTTTTAAAATAGTAATTCTAAGCACATGGAACGACCTTCCTTAGGGCATGCGTTCAGCTCTGCAGCACTGTTCCCACTTGGAGCAACTTTGTCGGTGTGGGGCAAGCGAGGTGTGTTTATTCTTGTTCCCTGGGTATCATGCTGGGTCCTGCTGCGGGCTCTCTCGTTACTGCCTGGTTCAGTATCACGCCAGATCACACGCTCTCTGCACTGGGGATTGGTTTATTCCATACTTGGGCACGTTCGGCGTTAGGCTTTGACGGGTGCTGGAGCGCTGCGGAGAGTGGGATTAGTTGGCATTTGAATGCTGCTGCAGGTGTTAACTCATAAAAATTAAGCTGATCAGAAAATACGCTGCACTGCGTTTCAGAAAAAAACATTTGGGCTGTGCTTTATTTTTCTGTCCCTTCTTTTTATAATTGGAATGTGTATTATTTCTCTGTCCCTTCTGTTTAAAAGCCAAAGTCTTTATTGGAGCAGCCCCTATTTTTTAAATGCTTCTCTAGCTAGATTTTAAATTTCATGATCATAGTTTCCTTCTTTGGCAAGCTTTCTGCTTGTTGCAGTTTTCTCTCCTTAGTCTACACTACAGAGTCAAACAGTTGGATCCTTCTTACTTTCCTGAGCTAATTAGGGGAGCTGTGTGTTCATTAGGCTAAACTAATTGTTCTAAGAGAGCACACTCACTAATGTCACTTTTGTAACCCTTTCATAATGAGAGCAGTGTGTTGTGAGGAAGCCTGCAATAAGAAAGGATAATTAAAATTGCTTATTTAACTTCATCATCTGCCTACTGCCTGCTTTATGATGCAGTTTCCTCAGGGTCTTTCATTAAAAAATATCCAGCTACCCTTCTTTCTGTCATAGCTTTTGCCTCTTAGGGAGGTTGTCTGATCTGCTGCCTCTTCCACTTCTTGCCATGAGTAAAAGCATTACAGCTTTTCAGCTGCTATCCTTAAAAATGAAATTGAGATTTTTGTGGTCATTGGCTCCTTACTGTTTTCACTGTTATTTGTCTACTGCATTACCCTTTATTTTTCAGAGAATGGTTTGGGTTAGAATGGATCTTAATCATATAGTTCCAACCCCCCTGCCATGGGGGGGACACCTTCCACTAGACCAGGTTGCTCAAAGCCCCGTCCAACCTGGCCTTGAGCCCTTCCAGGGAGGGGGCAGCCACAGCCTCTCTGGGCAACCTGTGTCAGTGTCTCACCACCCTTACAGTGAGGAATTTCTTCAGTACATCTAATCTAAATCTACTCTCTTTCAGTTTAAAACCATTACTCCTTGTCCTACTGCTATGTGCCCTTGTAAAAAGTCCCTCTCCAGCTTTCTTGTAGGCCCCCTTTAAGTACTGGAAGGCTGCTAGAAGTTCTCTACAGAGCCTTCTCTCTTCTCCAGGCTGAACAACCCCAACTCTCTCAGCCTGTCCTCATAGGGGGGGTGCTCTGGCCCCCTGATCATCTTTGTGGCCTCCTCTGAACCAACTTGAGCAGGTCCATGTCCTTCCTATGTTGGGGGCCCAGAGCTGGACACAGTACTCCAGGTGGGGTCTCATGAGAGTGGAGTAGTGGAGGAGAATTGACTCCTTTGACCTGCTGGTCACACTTCTCTTGATGCAGCCTAGAATACAGTTGGCTTTCTGGGCTGCAAGCGCACATTGTTGGCACATAGTCAGTTTTCCATCCATTAATATCCCCGAGTCCTTCTCCTCAGGGCTGCTCTCTATCCACTCGTCACCCAGCCTGTATTTGTGCTTGGCATTGCCTTGACCCATGTGCAGGACCTTGCACTTGGCCTTGTTGAACTTCATGAGGTTCACACAGGCCTTTCTCTCAAGCCTGTCAAGGTCCGTCTGGATGGCATCCCTTTGCTCCAGCATGCCAACTGCACTACGCAGCTTGGTGTCCTTGGAAAACTTGCTGAGGGTGCACTCAATCCCGCTGCTCGTGTTGTCAACAAAGATGTTGAACAGCACCAGTCCCAACACCAACCCCTGAGAAATGCCACTCATCACTGCTCTCCACTTGGACTTCAAGGCATTGACCACAACGCTTGGAGTGTGACCATCCAGCCAATTCCTTACCTGTCGAGTGGTCCATCCATCAAATCCATGTCTCTCCAATTTAGAGACAAGGATGTCATGCAGGACAGTGTCAGATGCTTTGCACAAGTCTAGGTAGATGATGTCAGTTGCACTACCCTTATCCACCAATGCTGTAACCCTGTTGTAGAAGGCTACCAAATTTGTCGGGCATGATTTACCCTTTGTGGAGTCCTGTTGGCTGTCACCAATCACCTCCTTATTTTCCATGTGCCCTAGCATGGTTTCCAGGAGGATCTGCTCCAGGATCTCACAGGTACAGGGGTGAGACTGACTGGCCTGTGGCTCCCTGGGTCTTCATTTTTTCCCCTTTTTAAAATTGGGGTTTATATTTCCCCTTTTCCATTCAGCAGGAACTTTACAGGACTACTCCAGTTGTAGTCTGTCTTTACAGTGTTGTTTCATATGTCTCACTTTACCATTTCCCTTCTGTTCTGTTTTTTCCATTCAGCCTGTTGTCCTCGTGTTCACTTTCTCTTTTGTCTACATCACCTGTGTATTTTCAACCTTGATGTTCTGCCAGTTGCTCCTGCTACCATAGATGTGTGATCTAAGTGTGTTATGTAGTGTCAGCCCGACCCTTGCGATGCTGCTTCTGCTCTTCTCCATCTAGTGAGATATAAATGTTTAATGTGTGTTTGGAAAGGGAGAAGATACCTGAGACATCTTTATTTTTAGACTGCTGTAAAATATCCTACTCTTCTTTTGCCAGTTTACTTAATGATAAACATTTGGTAATGCATTTTTAATATCCTTAATTATTTAAAGTATCTAATATATTCTCCTTCTGATTAACTGAAAGAGAAATGATACCTTTTTTTGATAGATTGCATTAACTATTGAATGTCACAGTTAGGGCTTTCATCAGGCAACGCTACAGTACCAGCAAAGCAGGCCATTCACACACAGTAGGTTATAATAGAATACCTGAATGTTATTTTCAACAAATAGGCCTTTTTGTTTCCATAGTCAAAGTCAGTAAAAGAGGTAACCTTACCCAACACTGAAAAATCTAGGTATCCGCTTGCATAGTTGAGAGCATCTTCATGGAACAAAGCAAGAGAGGCAGCTGACTAGTAGACTGCCAAGCAAAGTTGGAGCAATTCATCTTCCTTGTAAGACTTTGTAAAATATTTCCAATAGCACTCGTCTCTGTCAGCACTGGGAAAGGGGAAATGGAAAAGCATAATCCCTTTGACATGTGATGAGGATGTGACAAGAGGAGGAATGGTTATAAAAGGTTTTCGCAGAGCTGGCGGTTGAAAACCACCAACAACCAAACTGAAGGATATGATGATGATTTTCGTGCGTGTGTGTGTTTCTGTGTCTTAAAGACCGCTGGAATCACTGGGAGGACTTCAGTGACTCCTGGAGTGTCTAGGTCAGCCCCACAGCATTTTAGGGTGGATTTTTCCGCAAAATAGTGAGTAGAATACCCTCTTCTCTAAGGATGTTCTCAGTCTGGTTTTCCCCCAGAGTTGAAGAGCCATGAGGCCAAGGTCAGTATGTGCTGTGGTGGTTATCTCCACCTGCAGCGCCTGGCTGGCAGCCGGCTGAGCCGATCAACAAATGAGACTTGTAACTCCCGGCGGCTGGTTTGGCTGTTTCTCCTGTTTCTGTGGTAACAGCGTTCGGATCAGCAAAAACGAGGTAGAACGAACATTTTAAAGCTCACTGATTTTAATGCTCTGTTTTTTAGCAGGCCAGTTTCTATGGAAATGACTCTGGAAAGTCAGCGCTCTTGTTAAAATTAAGTGCTGGTTCCCTTCTCATTTTGGGTGGTGGTGTTGTTTTTGACCTTGAATGCCATGTAAATCAGTATCAGATACATAAAAACAACATATGGGAATTTTGTACCATTTTAATACTTAATTTGACCTTTGTGTGAAAATAGGAAGGGAAAGACAGCCAGGGGGCCAACAGCTGAGAATTAGAGGTCTCACTTATTAATTTCATCTGTGGGCTGCCAGCAGACTCTGAAGTTTCAAGTGGCAATATCCAGAAAACACCTATGGCCTTCCAGAGTGTCTTGATGTAAAGATAAGATAAACATTGGTTAAGAAACCAGAGAAAATATTTCAGCTGTTTCCTCCACAGTTTTTATTCTGGTTTCAAGAAGGTGAGACTGTCTTTTCTTTGCCTTAGGATGGGAGCTCTGTTTTAGTAGGTATCAAGAGGTGCTTCTTTCAGCAACTGCTGGATGGTGGGCAGTTCTGGTCTGTGTTTCTCCCAGACCAGCTACTGCCTCCTCTGCTGAACAGTAACATGCTGCTTTTCTGTCTAGGTCCTGGCCAAGGCTTATCTGGTGATCAAAACTTGCCTGTAGTAAGAATTAAGTAATAATTTAACTCACAGGTATGTCCACACCTGCTTTCCTGAAGTTCTGGTGGACTGTAGCAAGTCAGTTTTCAATGGAAGCTCTTGCCAGTCAATAAAGCTTTCTCCTTTCTATAATTCCCATACTATAAAAAGAGAAGGAGAGGATAGTTTTAATGGTTAATTAACTGTAACTCACAACTGATGTGAAATTACAAGGCCTGAAACCTCTTCTTGAGAGATTGTGTTTCATTTACCATTCTAAATATGCAAGTGCATTTTCTGTTGGGAATTATTTTTAACACTCATACTGTTTTGCTTTTTATACCTACAATTGTAACATCCCAATTGTGTTTTTAAGGAAACATACAGCATTATTGAATTAAATCCTATTTATATAATTGGCAGCCTAAACAATCCATACTGTGACATTATTTTGGTGGTGCTGCAAGATGCTATTTCTGGCTTACTGCAGTATCTTTGCTTCCTAATCAGTGTGATCTGAATATACGTGTGTGCCATGCAGAACATGTGTGGTGTATTTATTAACAGAAAGATGAATCAGAGAATGGTAGCATCTTCTAATTGCAGGCCCCACTCAGACTTGCAGTCCAGCTGAAACAAAATTACTTTAAAACACAGCACTTGTAGAGAAATTAAACTGGAAGCCAACTTCTGATACAGCCCAGAAGTTTCAGGGTGCCATCTGGGCTGCCAGCTTCCATCTTTCTCATATTATAGTTACTTAAATAAATAAGCTGTGGTATCTGTCAATAGACTGATGATCTCTGCTTTGCAAAAGAAGTTTCTGTTGACTGCTGCCAAATATCTTGCTTATATTGTTCTAGAAATTTGGTTTGTATTTTGTTGCATCTGGCTTGTTGCAGGTTGTTGTTTTGTATAATGCTTCCCATGAAGGAATAGGGTCTCTTCATATTATTAAAGTTTTTTTTTTTTTTTTCTGTGCTTTGTCCACTGTTTCTAATTATGCAGCAGTATTGTGTAGGCTACTAATGGTTTTACAGCACTAAGGAATCTTTTTGGATTCGAGTTAGATAATCAGGTGTCAGGGAACCATGATTAACTTCCAGAAACAGCCATTGCCTGTGACTCTGGTGGTACTAGAGGGAAGCACTGAAATGAGATGTAACTGTTGCAAGTCCTATGCTACAGAACAGGAAAACTATTTTAGATTACATCTATTTCAACAGTACCTGTACATGATTGCCTATTCAGCAGGCATAGGTTTGCAGGACCAACCACAACTGCCTTTTGTGCTGCTTTTTCATGTATGTTGCAACAGAGTTAGATTGCTTCTTTGATAGCTGGCCTCTTTTAGGGGTATGAACTTGCAGTTGTGTGATTGTTGGACATTTGCACATATAAAGCGAAGTCTCTGTGACTTACTTTGCATGTTCACGTGCAAGTAAGTTCAAGTATCCTTACAATTTTGAAGTCCCTCAGTAAAGACACTAGTTGCAAGTATTATTCTTTGTCTGATTCCTACTAGCGAATTAGGATCATCTTCCTAAGTCTTCTAATAGAATCATAGAATAGTTTGGAGGGGACCTCTGGAGAATACCCAATTCAATCCCTGCTCAAAGCAGGGTCAGCTGGAACAGGTTGCTCAAAGCCCCATCCAGTTGTTTGGTTTACAGATTTCTTCTAGTGAATTTATTTTTCACCAAACTTGGAATTTCTTGATGACTACCTGTGCAGGTTTCTGAGACAGAGGAATAGAAAAAATAAAAGGTGGTTTTGGTCCTGAGTGTAAGAAGAGTCTTGATAGCAGCTTTGTTTTAGCAAGTAAAATTTATATACCTCTGATATACCTACTGAAGAACTCCATGAATGGGCAGATCTGGGCCCACCAGTCTCATGCCTGTTGTCCTGGTTCCAAGTTGTTTTGTCATTGCTGGTGTTTTTACATTGTAAGAAAATGTGTCCTAGTAAGCTGCTGAGGGAACACTGGTGATTCAAGCCAATGTGTTTACCTTTGCGGTAGGCAAGCACATGTGGTTAAAGCAGCTCCACTGACAAGCAGTAATTCATTAAAGCTGAGCACTCAGTCATATATCCCAACCTGAATCTAAGCCAGGACATTCAGCAGTCTTGAAGCTGTGGGCCAGATGCCAGTTTGGGGTTATGTCTGGAGATCAGTGCAACTGCTCCACAGATTTGCATGGAGTCACCAGTAATAGAGTAGTTAAGTACTTTGGCTTGCATATGCACAGTAAGGGTGCAATGTCACTTGGACATTAGGATGATGTTGTCCAATGAACAGAATATGTACCACGCTCCCAGAACAATACCTGGGATCTAGATAATCAGCAACCTCTGTTGTAACTGCGGGCAGTGTAATTGTTGCTTTCCTTAGTTATGTGCTACCTGTTTTCCTTAGTGATCTGTGGAGGTGGTAGGAATTTGACACTGGTGGTATGCCAAGGCAGGAGAGTGTCTACAGAGCTTTGCTGTGTGCACAGTTCTCATAGTAGGAAAGAAGGAACTATGTTCTCCATCTCTTATGTGAAGGAGAGGGAAAGTATATATGAGGAAAATAAATTTATACACTTTTCTGTTTTCTGCAGGCTTCCAGGGCCAACCTCAGATCTGGAATAACTTAAGTAACAGTAATTTCAGACTAGACAATATTAAAGAAAATCGTGTATATAAAACCTGTTGATAGCCAAAGAAAATAAAATCTACTGAAAAGTTCCCTTTTGAACAGATAGCCTAAAATAGGGTATTGAATCACAAAGAGCATGTAATATACTTGCATTCATTATAGATGTTAAGTTTTCTGCCAAGTGAGACTTGATTCTAATGACATGCTGCTGCTGTGAGTGTTAGGACTGCTCTTTACATCACTGCTTGCAAAGATGTTTCTTTTTCTGACAGCATTTTGAATCTTGACTCTTTTACCCTTGAACATTCAAACTTAATTTTTATGTTCTTGATCCAAGTCACGAGAGGCCTTGTACAGCCATCACAAGAGACAACGTGCAGCAGAGATGTGTAATGCTCTCCCCCAGGTGAAGAGTCAGTCACCCATCCTAGAAAATGGAGTTGAGAATGGGGCGTCTGTAGTGGAGCTCTTTACAGCATAGAAGTACCATGCCAAAATAAGAGGGGGTTGATTGGATCAGGTCTGCTGCTCCTGTTTATAAGCAGTGATATAGTAATGCTGCAGACTCATTTCTCTAGAATATGTTTTGTTTTTTTCAAGCAGTGCAGTCTGTTAATTTTGGCAAACTGTTCTGATAGTAGAAGTCTTTCTCAAAGGTGCCTAAATAGGATTCCTTTAGAATTTCTAATGACTGTATTTGTTCTTACCTTTGGGATATAATGTAGGACTAAAGGAGAAATATGTTCTCTTTTTATTTTTACCCCATCTCCTCCCAGATTTCTGATGCTATAGAACATCTTCAAGAAGCACTGCAACTGTGCAAAGATGACATGAATTCACTTCATCTACTGGCCCTCCTCTTTTCAGCTCAGAAGCACTATCAGCATGCACTGGATGTTATCAACATGGCTGTTGTGGAATACCCGGAAAGCTTTAGGTAAGAGTCGTTTCATGATGCAATACATCCAGCCAGGAATGATCGCTCACTAGCTCTGTTGTTCTCAGTTACCTACCCACAAGGAGCCTGTTAAATCAGGTGTGCTGCTGGTGTGTCACTCTCCTCCTGGGTGTACTGTGAAGCCAGAACATGTGAGGCTCAGGGTATTCTTTTGATTTTCCGTTTTCATGGTCTTTCCATTTTTAAAACTAATCCTTGCGCTTGTTTGCTTTTCCAGTATTTGTCTTTCTGTGTTGTGCTGATGGTGTTTTCTCCCATATATCATTCTGTACTTGTTTCATATGTCACTGTACACATGCAGAAATGAGTGTAAGACAGCTATGATAATGTCTATCTGTATCACAAATAATTTTGTATTTGGTAAACTTCCTGGTTAAAGACAAACATTCTTCATGTATTGACCATTCTTTTGATGATCGTGTATGACACAATTTGCTGCAACAGTACAGCTGGGAAAAAGATAAGCTGAAAATCACAAGCTGTAATAGTGTATAGCTGAAAGGATGGTTTGGCTGCCTAAAAGAAGGTTTGAACCAGCACAGACTTCTTGGGGCCAGGGTGTCCTGGGTTTCCACTCACTCAACTCACTCAAACCTGTGTGTCCACTCACTCAAACCCAGGACACAGGGTTTCCAGTGGTCTATGTTTGACACGCTCTTTCATCCATCCAAGGGAGATAAATTGAGTTCCTTACAATTTATTGTCATGACCTTTCAAAACAGTGAATTTGTCTGTTCTGTGCAAAAATTAAAGCTACGGTAATACTTTCTGGTGATCACATACTAGCTGAGTTTCTCAGACAAACTGCAGAAAATCCTGTTGCACTGCAGGAAGGCCAACATCCATTCAGAATTGCCTGTATTTAACTGATGTTTTAAACACATGCAGCATTGTCTTTAGGCAGCCTGCTTTCTCAGCAGGGAGAGGGAACGGCCTCCACAGCTGTAGCCCAGCAGCTGAGTGGGACATTGTCTAAATCAGAGCAGAGGAGGGCCACAAGTGAGATTGAGGCTATCTAAATGTGAGCTTGAATGCTTTAGGATCTTTTAGAACTGTGGTGCTGTATCAACATATAATGCTTTTCATTGTAAGCTGCATGTTGCCATTTAAAATAGCTCTGCTGCCAGTTTTTTGAGGCTGGCTACTTTGCGTATGTGAGGAGCTAAGACTATCAGTGCACATCTTTGAGAACAAAGTGAAGATTAGTAACAGAAAAAAGGTCTTAAATGATGCCAGCATCTCTTCAGAGCGTGAATATTGGGTATGATTGAAACAGGAAATATTCCAGTGGCTGCTAAATTGTGTTTTGTGGTTTGAAAGTTATAAATAGGAAAATTATAAATAGGAAAAAATCTCATGTATACAGTCAAAGGTCAGATGCTCATTGAGGACTACAAATGCTCATAGATAGATAAGAGAGTGGTAGAAGAGGAAGAAGAAACTGGTTGTATATGTGAGGAACAGAGTATTTGCCAGGTCAGAACAACCAACTGGTCCATCAAGTCCTGCATCTTTCCTTCAGCACTTACTGATAATTTATGTTTTGGGGTAGGAGAAAACACCTAAAACATCATTTATCTAAGTAGCTTGGAGGGCTGCTGGACGGGTTCCTTTCTCCTCCTGGTAATACAACTTTCCCCCAAAAGGAAAGAATATTATCTCCTATGCTTCTATCGGTGCCAGTCTTCATGTGTGGGAAGACCTTTGCAAGGAGTACCAGAATAAGTTGTTTCTGATAGAACCGGTTAATATCAGTAGTGAAAGCCACAGGTTCATGCTCACTCCTAGACACAGACTTGCTAGAGTGTGTGCTCCTGGAAGAACTTCTCTTTGCTCCTTGCATGCACCGTGGTACTTAACACAGTTGGCAGTGAGGCTTATTCACAGGTACGCATGGATGCAGGAGTAGGAGCTGGCTTCTTGCCACTGCTACTATGACTAGCCTGCCTCTGTGTATCTTTCACTAAACCAGCCAGCAAATAACTCATGAGTGAGGGAATGGAGAAATAATATCAAAATTGCAAGACAGAAAAAAGTGAAGGAAAAAGAAAAGCATTTCTGAAGAAAAAGAACGGGAATCCACGGGGTGGGGGGGGGAGAAAGCAAGACGAGTGACAGAATACACCTATATTTTGTACCAAATCTGAAAGTGTTCCAGACTTTCTAGAGTCCTAAAGTGCAGTTTATGCTAGGAGGGCTTTACCACTTTGTAAAACCCCTTTGAAGGGAGAAAGACGTGATACTGTTGTGTATCTCCAGTTACTGCCTTACAGAATAATAATAGTAAATTTTACTACTGCATGGAATGACTACAGAATACTGTGTATAAATATTATAGGCAAGTTAAACTGCATAATTTTAAAGCTGTATTTAAAATTAGTTGATTATTTTTCCTAATTCACATTGGTATGAAGCAGGCAACTGTGTAATGTGGTGCCTGGGGTGCTCCCTTCCTAATGACAAGTCTTTGGAAGCATAGTTTGATGGCATGTATCAAGAAGAGAAGATGAAAGCTGCATTAAAGGACCTTAGGGCTCTGTAGATGGCAAAAAAATGTAAGCATTACCTGGATGTGTATCCTAAATAAAAGACAGAATAGTACACTAAAAAATTAAGGTCCTAGCTGGCCCAGACTACAGACATCTTGTACTGTTTTGTTAGTCTCTGATTGTATGGTAATTAAGATGAGTTTGTTCCTGCTTTTTTATTTTCATATTAAATTCTTGAATTATATATTTTAAAGTAGTAATCATTCAGGATAGGATGTTACGTAGTTGGTTAGTGGCTGAAGCAACTGAAATAAGTATACTTCATTACGCAGCTAGCATACAACATGCTTTGGCATGAACCCCATAATACTGACCCAAATGTGCCTAAAAATGCCACTTTTGGAGGAGTTTAAGCTTAAACATTTACTTCACATTACAGTGGTTGATATGGTACACAGGGAGGAGGGATACAAAAGCTAGACAGTGAGTACAGTGAGAGGTGAACTGGAATGTTTTGGACCGAGCTGTTGGAAAAGAATGTTGAAGAACAGCTGCACATTCATAAGCACAAATTGTTCAGAAAAATGAACTTAGGAAGTTCACTTCTGCTTGGAAGGTGGTATATAGTAACAAATGCATTAAATCACAGTTAGTGAATGACTGAATTTAAGCACCTGGATGTACTGTCAAGCAATGACAGGAAGACTAGATAGAGGAAGAATGCAAGCTAGCTATGTTGGACATATTGCAGGGTGGAGTGAACCAGATGAAATACACTGCCTTGCCATGACTATAAAAGATAGTAAAAAATAGCAACCTTTAGGAATCGCCTGAAAAATCCCTGACCCCTGTGAAGGCAGACTGCCCAGGATAAAACTTAGTGGGTTTACATCCTGTCAGTGTTGGTATACTTTAAAAGAAGTTAGTGAATGCAGTACCAACAGTTGGTTCTGGAATATATTTCAAAGCACCATCTCCACCACATTTGGGAGAAAAGGCTCCTAATAGCATCAGGTATCTCCCCTCCACGTCAGTGATGCTGATCATAAGCCTTTCTTAAGATGGATTCCTTCGTTTTTTTTCTAACCCAAAGTCCAGCCTTTTGGGCAGTGTTCTACCTGGGTCTGACTCTGACTACCTCCCTAGACTTGTCTCAGGGTTAGATCTTTTAGCTGGAAGAACTAATATTAGGGAGTACCCCTCTTGCCTTCCAGATGATCTTCTTAAAATAATACTTTGTTTAGAGAGAAGTGTATTTCCCTTTTTAAAGTCTGTATTCACACCTCACAGTGTTCCATGCAGAAGTCCCATAGGTCTGACAGCCTGCAGAACCAACCACAGAGACTGTCTGACATTGTCCTTTATCTTCAGCTGGTAATATTTCCTCCCTCCTGTTTTGCTTGTGTAAAATTGACTTTATCCTCCTGGCTCACCCACTCTTCCAGAGACTGTTTTGCTCTCTGGTCATCTTTTAGCTCTAATTGGTTAGTTCCCAGCATTGGAAAAAAAAAAAAAGGTCTGTAGCTAGCCTGAGGTTGGAAATAGGATGTCAATTTTATGGTTACTCTATTGCTTTATAATTGCTCCCAAACTGCTTATCCAAACCTATTCTGTTGTATGCCAGCTTGCTTTTTGTCTCCTGGATGGCCTCCCATTAAGCTAGAACAATACAGTTCTTCTGGTTTAACGTACAACATCTTCTAATCGCTGCCCAATGTGCTGGGGAATGTTTTGTTAAATAATCACATCTTCGTATCTGTAGCAGTTCTGCACGTGGCACAGGAGTCGTAACTCTCTTAAATACCTGCTAATATTCCGTGTCTTCCTAAATTATAAGTCAGTCTCAAAGCTAGTTTTAAACAGAAATAATAGAAAACTTTCAGGGGGCGCTGCTATTCCACACATGAAGACTCAAAAAGAAGCAGGTGGGTTGGTGTTTTGGAGCAACATAGCTGTCAAATGCAGATGCTTTTGTTCTACCCATATATTTGCTATCACAAAAGTAATTGCTGTAAATATAGTGCAAAAAAGCTCAGAAGGCCAAGAAATATTAAATGCGTATCTTGGAGACTGTCAATAAAAAAGGAAGTAAACTTTGCATCAGGAATTGTGTGTGTTGTCTTGGTGGTGTTTTAGCAGAAAGATGATTTTTTTATTTCCTACCCCCCCCCCCCCTACAGCCAGCCCTCAAAATACAAAGTCCTCTTCTAGATTAGAAGTGGTTTACTGACAGCAAATGTCCTTGACTTCATCACTACTACATTATTTCATTAAGGATGTGTGAAATAATTGCCTGGCAAGATTTATTTGTTGTAGTCTGGTGCAGACTTAGTGTGGTGAGAGCTATGCTGTGGCATATAAGCAATGTCATTTACCAGGTGCTTCCACTTGCTACAAAAATAAACCCAATGTAAAATCCAGATCTCAAAATGCATGATTAAACTGGCATTTCCAGTTTGAATTCTTTTTCCATTATTTGTCAGGCTTTTT